CCCCAAAACCCCAAAACCCCAAAACCCCATGATTCTGAAATAGGTGGAATTAGATATTAATTTAATGAATATATGAAGAAATTAATTGCATTGATTTCTGAAAATATTCCATTTATTTCATTTAGGATATTCGCTGAGGTATGTTTGAATCCAATATTTCATATACTTGTAAATGAAAATATACTAATCTATGGTTTGAACCATAAACATTCGTTGCTCTCTTAATTTTCTCACAGTAGAGAATACTTGCACTATTGGATATTTAGAAGAGCCTATATTTTTCCTCTATTCTTTTTAAGCAATAATATGCATAATTAGTTGCATTAGTGATAAAGTGGTACCAGTTCTACCTATTCCTGCACTGCAATGAATTACTATCTTTTTTGTATCGTCTACTAGGAAATTGATGCCATGCTACAACAGAACATTAAAATCTTCAAGTGATTCATTACTTGGGATACCATAATCAGGCCATCCTAAGTAATGCATCTATACAACTTTTTTTCTCACGCCTGTCTCTTAATCCATTACATAGAAAATTCTTTTTATCAGATGAGTGTATTTTTCGTCATTACTCTCAAAAGTATTGTAAATTAATAAGTTTCCTATCTAAAAATCCTCCTCTGTAGAGGTTTATTTTTCTGGCCAATATCTAAGAAATTTCTCTTTACCATGCTCCTTTTCATTTGCAACAGTCATAATAAGTCCTACATTCTACTCTAAAACCATTCTCCAGAAACTTTCAACTGTATACTTAGTAGGTCCCTATGTGGCTATAATTCTCTAATCATTTCCAATCGGACTCTAAAGATATACAAATCTTTGGGAATATTTTACATTTATATAGTTAGCATTAATATAATCATCTGTAGGACCTCTACCTTTTCGAGCTTATAGTTTAACTCTTGTATCCTCATCTATATTCATTACTCTAATTAAAATACATGGCAAAATATCTGTGTATCTATTGAGATGAGTGACATTTTTATTAGTATTTAAACGCCTTTGATGAGCTTCCAATTTATCTGTTATCTGTATTATTCCTTCATATTCTATTTCCATTGTTTTTTCGTTTGTTTGAAGAATTCTTTAAACATCCATTCCATATTCAAAATTTGAGAAATTCTTATCATATTTGTAAGCTTCGTAGGAAAGATCTTAAGGTAGTTTCTAATCCAATTTAATGTAAGGGAACCTACTTAGATTGACTAAAATATGTAAATCTCAGAATTTTGAGTCTTACTTTTAAATATGGTTCTATTGACTGACTCCATTTTAGTATACTACAAAATTTACCAATATTATGATCAATTATAATTAAGAAAGTGATTTCATTCAATTTAAATAGTATTTTGTCAAGATTTTAAATACTACAGTTCATTTTAATGAACATCATGGGGTTTTGGGGTTTTGGGGTTTTGGGG